TGTGGTGGAGGAAGTCACGGTGCAGCGGCCCCGCGGAGCCCCTCACCCCTGCAATTGAAGCCGGCCGGGTTGTGGTAGTCGAGTGCCGAGAGCTTGCGGCGGAACATGGCGCCGGTACCGCCGGCGGCGGCGACTCCGCTGACGGCCGGGCCCTGCCGCTCGCCCCGCTCTACGGGCCGGAGAGGAAGGAACACCCCCCCGCCCCGCTTTCTGCCCTCCCATTGGCCAGCGCGCGGCGAGCGGCAGGCTCCGCTACCAATCAGAAGGCGGAAGGGGCTGCCGGGAGAGGAAGAGGCCCTTCATCCAGCTTTATTGACACGACGGCGAGCGGACAGCGACAGGGGCGGGGCCTAGCGCGGGGGGGCGGGGCCTAGGGCAGGCCTGGGTCGGTGTGTAGGCCGCAGTGGGGAGCTGTGGGGCGAGCACTGGGCTGTACTGGTGAGCGCTGGGCTGTACTGGAGAGCACTGGGGCAAGCCTCACAGCACTGCCCAGAGCTGCATAGGGGCCGGGGGGAGGGGCGGGCCCCCCATGACCCTCTGCCACCTCGTATTTGCCCCACATCTGCCCTGGCACCACCTGAGGGACAGAAGGGTCTTGGGTGTGGGGGGGTCCAGCCCAGTGCCCCCCACACAGGGACGGGATGGGCACCCCCAGCTCCTGGGCATGCTCTGGTGGCTCTTGGGGCCAGCCCCTGGCCCCCCCCAAGCTCCCCCATGAAGGGTGCTGTGGGGCCTGGTGCCCCTGAGGACATTTTGGGGGGCAGTTGCCCCCAGCTGCCATGCTAGGCCCTGCTCTAGGCCCACAGCAAGAGCTGTGGGGAATGAGGGGGTCACAGGCTGGCCAGTGATGAAGGGGGGGCTTTGCTGTCGGCTTTGGGGGTTGTTTGTGATTCCACCCCTGTTCACTCTATTTTTAATGCCGCGCTGACGCCACTGCAGCGTGGCAGTGCGGATGCCAAGAAGTCCCTCATGAAATTAGGCAAGAGCAGAACTGACCTTTTTGGAGGGGAAAAAATCAACCCACCAGAGAAGGGGCAGTTGTTTTCCCTTCTTGGTGCACGTGTTAACGTTTGCTCTCCAGAGTTTAGAAACCCAGCCTTTTTTATAGTCTTCAAACCACGGGTGAATCATCCTAATTTCTCACAGATCCGCCCCAGCCCAGAGCTGGCTCAGCAGTGCTCCGTTGTCCTCCTGGGAAGCAGTGAAGAGAGTTTCTGGGCAGGGGACGCAGCTGCCTGCCGAGCCTGAGCCCCCTCTCCTTTCCATGCCACATCCAGCTTGTAATTAAACTGTTTTCCATGCGAACGCCGCTGCTGCTGCTGCTGTTCATCAGGTTTTGCTCCCAGATATATTTCAGTCATCTTGGGCGGGGGGGGTGTGTGATTTATAGCCAGGAAAAGTTTATGCTCTGGTGGCATCTTGCAACAGGGCTCTGCACTTGAGTGCCAGCCAGCAGGTGAAGGATGCCCGTTTAAGGTTTTTTTGGGGTGGTTTTGCCTGGAGAAGGCGATGAGCCCAGGTTGGGAGCGAGACCACCCCCGTCCGTGTCCCCCCCCGTTCTGCCTTGGGTGGCACTTTGCAGACGTGGTGCTGACAGCGCGACGAGCCAATGCAATATTCATCCTGACATTTCTCTCTGCGCCAGCCCTTCCCAGAGCTCCAGCTGGCAGCCGGCGCAGCCAGCAACTGCGGCACTGCCATGGCAGGGTGGCACCAGGCTGAGCCAAACACCCCCGTGGCTGCCCTGCGCCCCAGGGGGAACTGGGGCGGGGGGGCTTCTGCCTCCCTTCCCCTTTAGGACCATCTCTCTCCCATTCACCATATCTCCTTCGGCTTCTTCCTGGAGCGGTTTAAGCGCTCTCTGCAGCAGGCAGAGAGCCAGCTCTGCCTCCTTTGGGTTTTGCAGCCGGGGCCCACGAGTGCTTCAGCGTGTTGCCGACACGTGTGCGAGCGGTGACGTGCAAGTGAGCAGTAAAGACACAAAGACTCTGGTGTGGTTAAAAGGAGCTTGGGACCGTCCCCAGGGTGTGTGGCCATCTGAGGGCACATGCCCTCACCCACATGAGCCTCACATGTCCATCCCAGCAAGGATGACCAGCGATGAAGGTAGTGAAACCTCTGCGTGGGTGTGGGGAGACAAATACAGAGCTGGTGGCCAGCAGCAGGATGGGGCTCTTCACCCTTCATCTACCTCTCCTGCCTTCATCACCCTCAGGACAGTCCTTGCCCTTCCTAACCCTTCCCATTTCACCATGGGTTTGTGGATCTTCCCCTTCCCTGGTGGGTCCAACCCCTCCTGCAGTCCCCCAGGGAAAAGCCATCCTCAGGAGCTGCGACGAGGGGTTGTGCTTCTCCTCTCCTCTTCCCACTGCATGCTGCAAATCTAATGGGCTTGCATCTAATGAATGCAATTAGCGCAAATGGGTTTATCCTCATTAGCGAGCCGTACAGGGCCTCGTGCCGGCATCGGGACGGGTAACAGCGTGGTGTGTGGGGAGCAACATCTCGCCTACGCTTTCCCCAGGCGCTCCACACCTCCTCCGGCTCGGCAGATGCTGCTGGCATGGCAGTGGTGCCGCCGTTTGGGAGCTGAAGCCTGGGAGGAGGTGAGGATGAAACGGAGCAAGCTTTGGAAATGGAGGAGAGCCAGCGAGGTATGGCAACAGCTGAGCGTTGCCTGGCTTGGCACGCTGAGCAGGCGAGACATCGCAGGAGCGACAGTTGGCTCGCTCCTTCGCAGTGACACCAATGTTTTTTCTTTTAAGCTGGCCCGATGGACACAGCAAGGGATGGAGAGCTGAGAGCGGAGCCAGCCGGTGCAGAAAAGTTGGGGCACGCTTCTGCCATCTCCCTGGGGGTGGGCAGCATTTGCCGCTCGCTGAGATGCTCTTAATGCGTGGAAAACTGAAATACCTACATGGCATCCGCACCGGTCTCAGCGGTGATGGGTTTCATTGCAAAACCCACGCAGTCACCTTGCTCCTAGCCCCAGAGATGACCTGAGGTTAAGCGGCCTCAAACCGTGGCTGGCTGCTTAGCCAGGAAATTGTGGGTCTGCAAGAGCTCTACAAAACCAGAGAGAAAATTCAGGGCATGGTAAATTTGGTAGGAGCAGAGCATCTTTCTAACCACCGGGGAAGGGAGGTGGGTGCGAGGGGGGGCATGGGGGGATGATTTCCTGCAGTCTAGGTACAAGCTGGGCATGGAGCTGGGCTGCTGTCCTGCTCTCCATTACCCCTTCCCCGGCCTCCCACCGCAGCAAGGACGGGGCTCAGACCCTCAGACTCTCCCCGAAACAGCCCCAAATGAGGCCATTCCTGCTCTGGGCTACAGGCTGGACCACAGCAGTCCAGATCCTGTTCTGGGCGCACTGGAGGTGGCACTGGGGTAGCCTGTACTTGCTTGCCAGGGATGGGAGAAGAAGGAAAGCGGGGGGAGAAGGGATGGACACTGAAGCGAGAGCTTTTAGGTGCCTCTCAATTTCTGAGCAATGGTGATTTTGAGCAAGGAGCAATGTCCCACCCTGAACGAGCCTGATCACAGGGCATCAGAGCTGGCTCGTCCTGTGGGAACAGAAAGCTGTGGCTCAGGAGGGGCTGAAACCCTGAGAGGCTTCGCTTTCCCTCGCCAACAGGCACCAAAGCTCCTGCCAAACCCCACGCCCCGGCGAGGAGACCCCCTAAACCCGCTGGGAACAGGATCCAGCCGCAACCAGGATGGGAACCCACCTCCCCAGAGGCTGGCACGCACAGAGCATCATCTCCAAAGGCTTGAAACAAATCCAAAATTTTATTTCAAACGAGTACACAGACCACGTGGGATGGGGATGCGCTACATTACAACGCCGACCTCCCGGCGCTGGCTTTCGGTTACAACTGCCCCCTCCCCAAAAGCCTGGCAGCGGCCAGTTGGCACTGGAGGGAAGGACTTGCCCCCACCGCCAGCAACCTTGGCAGAAAAGAAATAAAAGTCCTTTTCCAGTACTCCAGATATTTTTCTTTAAAAGCCTGGGGGTAGAGTTGAATGTCATTTGATACCATGCTGGAAATACAGCATCAGGATGGAGAGATGACTGGTATTTTTGTTGCAGGGGGGGGGGAACGATCTTGGCAGGCGATCTCTACTTGGCTAACAAAGGCATATCTGTGTAAATATAAATACTGGGGTGAAATACCTGGCAGCACACCAATGTCAACACCACTACCAACATAAAATAAAGACCAGCAACGTAAAACACCTTCAATGAGCAGTTTAGGCTAATTCAAAATTCCCCCCCTCCCCACTCTTCATGCAACTTTATTTCTTCATTTATTTATTAAGAATTCGAGTTGTAAAATACGCAAGTCGTTAAAAAAATTATTACAAACCACTTCATGACAGCATTTGAGAAGGGTTGGGGTGTGAGCCCTGGGTCAGACCGGCTGCGCTTCACTCTCTGTGACAGTACATCAGCGTTAAAAAGAAAAGACAAACCCGGGATGGGGTATTTACACGTCTGCCTTGTAACACCAAGAGTGAAACCAGCTGCAGAGCAAACGACTTCATCCGTCCTTCATCCTAAAGCTATGTGAGCTGTACTAAAAAGATTGAAACAGGGAGGTTGGAGGGGGGGCGAAAGCCACTGCAGGAGGGCGGGGACCATCTAGGCTACTCGTGTCATATAAACGTTCCCAGATGCCAAAAGTTTTGAGTCCAGTGTAAGAACAACAGGCCTTCTCTGTAGAAGACTAGAAAAAGAGTATGAAAAGGTAGAAAAACCAAAATGCACTTGTTACGGGCTAGAAAGGTACCTAAAGACTATTGCCCTCTTGAATCCACAGGAATTTTTAAGCTGATACCTGATTCAGAACTACAGTTTAGGGGGGATCACTGTAGACCCCCAAAACCCCTATGTGACACCCACCTAATTTTGTATGCAGATCCCCACGTTATGATTCCCAAAGTTTCCCAGGAGCGTAGATGAGCGGGGAAAGCTGGGAGGTGTTTAGCAGCGGAAAGGAGAGACAAGCCACGTCCGCAAAAGTATTAACCCGAGGCGGAGCCAAAAAAAGGTGGTGTGTGTCCCCCAAAATGCTGACGGCGGATGAACCGGACCTGGGAATAATTCCCCTGCCTGACGCGGAGGTCAGGCTGCGTGTAAACAAGGTATCAGGCACCTCCGTGAAGAGGTGGCCCCACGGCTCCCCAAGCTGCTCCCCTGCCCCTACCCATCGCGGTGGGGCCGCGACGGGAACGGGAAAGCCCGTGGGTGCGGGAGGGGGCAGAAGCATCCCACCATGGAGCAGCATCCCACCACGGAGCAGCATCCCGTGGTGGGGCAGCATCCCGGCCCAGCCCCAAGGGGAGGAGATGCTGCCAGGAAACCGAAAGAGCAGGACACGGACCAAGCGAGGAGGGCAGAGGCACAGAGGTGTAGAAGAGGAAAGACCCGGAAAGAAGTGGTCGACTTTGATTTTCAGATTTCTAGCTACCCCACAATGCCTGGGGCAGGGGCCACCCCGAGCCCCCGTGCTCAGGGGCTGGCACCTACCCTAATGCAGGAGGTATTTCAGGCACATCTAAGGCATCACAGGAATTGTCTTTGCTTTCAGAATTGCCTCAGTTTCCTCCCTACAGCTTCTCCCACCAGCACGTGGTGTCAAACGATAGAAAAAAAAAAAGTCTGGAGCAGATGAACGGAGATAAGCTCTCATGCAACTACCACTGAATGTCGTCACAGGAGTATGAAGCACCAACCACGACACATGATTCACTTTTACTTGCAGAGCCGAAGCTAACCATATACAAACTGTTAGAAAGTGGGGTTTGCTAGAAACACGGAGCTGCCGGCGCCCTCACTAACCCGCCGCGGGGCCGCTCAACCCCTGTGCTACGCTACCGCCAGAACTTAAAAAGCACAAGACCGAACATTGAGTAACATCATAGTTATCTAACCTGTCGCTATATATCTGACAACTTAAATAAAAAATAATATTTTGGAAAGAAACCAACAATATCATTCCAAGAAGGTTATACACATCCTTAGCAGTTACTTTGCTCAGCACAGCTCTGGTGCTTTAAATATGGAACAATCAAACAATTTTGTGAGCAGAAAAGTGACACAAATTTATTCTTTACATATTTTTTTTTCTTTCTAGGCAACTCTACAGACTTCAGATCTTTTGCCTCGCAATGCAGATCATCTTATTCCCCCAAAGGTGGCCAGGTTCTTTAAACATGCACATCTCTGTAGCTTCCAGGCCGTGTATTTTACTTATTTTTGTTTAAATTCTGTGGACTAGCAGGTCGTCCCCGTTCCTAAAAACTCTACATCAGTGTTCAGGGTGGCCTGAGTGCCAGTCAGGCTCCTTGAGGGTTTACAGGATCACGCAGAAGAACTTCTTCTCTCTAAAGGGGTTTTCTGAGGCCGGGACAGGGGTCAATAGGGGGTCCTCCTTGGCGTGGGCTTCGCAGTACGCCATCAGGTCTGCTGCCGCTTTTGACACCTGGAATAGAAGGAGCCCCGCGTTAGGGACAGGCTACGCTGGGGACATCCCACCCCGAGAGATCCCAGCGGTGGGGCTGGGCTCGCGGCATCCCCAACCCAGGGTTTGCAATATCATACCCTGGCCAAAGACCAGACCAGTGAATTGACAGCATGTCCCCAGTGGGGCTGGTTTTTCACCTCTGGGCTCTAAGCTCTCCTGTCGGTGGGTGCTCCCGTGAGCATCCTTCACGTCCTTCACCCATTCGCATCCTTCACCCGACTCGATCGTAGCGAGGACCGACTTTAGCCGGCACCACCGCATCCCTGCCGGATTTGCCCCCCATCCCTCAGCAGGGATGTCTACAGCTGCTATAGCAAGGTTTGCGGCCCGCAGCCACCGACTTGGCTATTTATCCAGGACACAGTGGCAGCTCCCAAGCTGCTGGAGCTCGTCCCAGCCCTCAGAGGTGAGGTTTTGCTTGCAAGCACCCAGACATGCCTACAGCCAGCAGCTGGCCCCAGAGCACCTCTCTCCCCGGGACCGGCTGTCATCCAGAACCACCTCGGTGGAGAAGACAAATCCTATGGGATCTCAAGCTTAAAGCCGATGAGCTTTGGCATGCCCAGAAGCAGCAATTCTACCGGGGTGGAGCAGAAGCGGTCAGAGCAGAGGAAATGCCTCCCAGAAAGAATTGGGCTTTCCATAGGAAAGAGGCTTCAGGACAATGTTGTTTTCAGAGTTTCCCCCACTAACCTCAAGGCTGAGCACCGACCACTGCCCAAAGGACAGTTTTAACAGCAACTGTGATAAACAGCATGGGGTTTAACTTGTTCCCAGGAAGGTGAGATGCCTCGGGGAGAGTCACCCCTTCCCACCCCCCCGGCAGGGCTCCAGGCGATGCTTCCAGCTGCCTTCCACGGGCGAGCATCTCCCGCTGCCTTCAGCCACAGCCACCGGGATCGCTTAGACAAGCATCCTCCCTAAACACCGCCTGCCACCGCGTCCCAGCTCCCACAACGGGTTTTTGGCAGCTGCCCAGCAGCAGACCCCACCTCGCAGCATCCCTCTGAGCCGACAGCCAGCTCCCGAGCCATGCTACCTTTATCCTGTCGATGTTGGCCTCCATCTTCAGCTGCTCCACCAGCTTGCGGGCTTGCGCTATGCTAGCAGTGTTGTTGCTAGCCATGGGCAGGCCAGGCGAAATCTCCGGATGGGCTGCGGGCACAAATACACGTGGATGAATTCTTGAGAGCTGCTCCCGGCCCTGAAATCCCCAAAACGATAGGCTAGGGTTGCATCTGTGGAGCTGTTAGAGCTGAGCCGTGTGAATGAGGGCATGAAGACAGGAGATGCAGACCTGGGCGTTTCAGACAGCGTTTAATTCTGTGTTTATACAAGGGCAGTGAGCCGCCAGCCTTTGTGGGTATGCGGGTAGTCACACGCTGCCAGTGGTACCCTCCTGTGTCCTCCCCGTCGTCCCCAGAGCGGGGGATGCCCTGTGAGCCATGCTTAGGGGCCACGGGGACCTTCTAGATCACAGCCTGCAGCAGCAGGACCCCGGCTGAGCTGTATTTTGGGTTTTGCTGGTATTGGAAAGGCTGTGGTGGCAACAGAGCAAAAGGAAATTGGAGAACGGGCTCCCCCCGAGCAGCTCTGTGCTGCCTGGAGCTTCTGTGCCAGGCTCATTCCCCTGGCCCAAGCCAGGCACATCATCCAGCCCCGCGCCGGTGCCCAGCGAGCGTCCGGTGTCCCTTGGCCTCCCTTGCTTTGTCCCTGCTGCCAACTCGAACATTGAGATGCTAAACAGGATGCTGGAGTTTCCTGTTTCTCGAGATTTCTACCCCAGGCAGGCAGGGGACGCTCATTAAGTCCACGCTGTCTTGATCACGGATGTTTTTCCGTCACCTTATAACAGCAGCGAGCTCCGGCAGCGGCAGCCAGAAACCCAGCGTTCAGCTCCTCCGGCAACCGACGTTTTTACAAGCAGCGAGTATTTTACAGCAGAGGCACAAGCCGTGCTGTGCTGGCCCCTGCCTGGCTGGGGCTGCCCGCGAGCTCGAAAATGGGGGGATTTTGGGGATGTCCTGCAATAGCAGGGTGCAGCGAGCCCCCCGCCAGCCCCTTGGGCGATGGGACAAGGATGGCACAGCCCTAAAATTTGTGGCTTGTGGCATTTTAGGGAGGGCACCGAAAAGCTGTGGGCACATTTAGCTCAAGCCCGTCTCGGGGGATATAAGGGTGTTTGGACAGAGGCTTATCCTGGGACCTACAGAAAAAAAGCAACCTGGCACTAAGCAAGGTGCTCATGCTCGGAGGTGACTGGAGAGCGAGTTGTGCCGGGGCCAGCCGGGATTTTGGGACGAGACCCCTCCCCAGCCACCCCCTGCCCATTGACGAGCGCGAGGAAGAGTTCTTTTTTACCAGAAGCAGGTCTCTCCGGTGATTTGTGCCTCTAGGGGAAGATCTGCTCCTCTTGGCCGTTCGCTACCTTTAAATAAAGAGAATATTAAAAAAAAAAAAAAAAAAGGAGCCAGGTTAGGTTGCTGTGATGCCAGTCAATAAAACGAGAACATTATTTATGGCACCAGGAAACTCAGAGCCCTCACAGACGCCGAGTCCCGTACCCTGCCGGGGAGGCAGAAAGGCTGTGGGTTTCCTTCCGTATCCCCCCCCCCACTCCCTCCCGTGCCCTCCAAGCACAGCCCCCAGCAACAATATTTGTTTGCATTCAGCGAGGTTTTCTGTACAGGAAGAGGTTTCAAGTCAGCAGGCAACTATCCGAGGGCTGTCGGCAGCAGCCGGGCTTTTCGCTGTTCCCCAGCTTGCGGCGAGCCCCACGGCACATCCGAACACGCTGTAGGATGCAGGGCGAGAGGGGATGCAATTTAACCGTCTGGTGCACAGAGCACGTGGCGGGGCGGAAAGAGCATCCCCCGGGGAAGGCTGCCAAAATCCTCCCTCCCTTCGCCGCAGCCCAGCTCCCACCGAGCATCCCCGACAGCCCGAGCTCCTGCCTGGGTCTGCCCTCATCGGGCAAAGCTCTGCGCCATCGCTTGAGGTTTAGCTCAAGCATTTGTCCTCTTTCCACGCTGTTTTTTCTGAGCTCTTCCCCTTCTTTGCTGGAGAAGCATTTGAGCAGCAGGCTACCAGGGTGACTCTCTCCTGCTTTTGCTTTCAGTTCTCCCTGCAAAGCCACAAAGTGGATGGCGGTGGCGGTGCCACCACGTTTCTGATGCGGCAACCGGTGCTGGGCTCGTGGGAAAGCCGGTGGCCATATAGGTTCACCTAGGTGAACTTCAACCAAGACGCCGTTGCATGGTTTGGATGCCTCAGAGACTTTTCTAAAGCAGTAAATGTTATTCTCGGTGGTGGTGTGCCATTTCATACAGAGGACCGTGGTCTGTTGCTGCTCCGGCGGCATGGAGTCACTTAGGGAGTGAAGTTTAACGTCACGGAAGGAGGCACGGCAGCAGGGAGGACTGCTAAGTGCTTCTGTACGGCTGCTACAGCCCCGATCTTTTAAAAAAATATATGCATCCAACCCTCATGCAAGAAAATCCTCCCATGCTCTTACTACACTAAACCCTAGAGGCGCTAAGGTGGAAAAGAGCCCCCAAAAGGCGGCCAGAGAAGACCGAGACCCTGCTGGGACAAGAGGAGGGGACATCTGTGAGAGCATCCCGCCGTGCACCAGGCTGGGACGATGCTGGGGACCCGGGGGCAGCTCAGCCAGCTCGCAGGACCAGGAGCCGGCCACGCACCCCGGCCACGCTCAGCCCCTCTGCAGATGCTTCATGTAGGAACTTGAACCAGTTTGGGGCCAGCGATTGTTTTACAGCGTTTCCATGCTTCGAGCAACTGGGCGTGCTTCCTTCAACACGAATAACAAAAAAAAATAGCAGGTGACACTTCGAAGTGAGCTTGTGAGTATCTCCCACTGAAAAACAAGTCCTGCGACAGCCCAGGCGCCACTCGGGCAGCAGCGAAGCTGTTCAACCAGGGCAGCCACAAAAGCAGCTTTTTTTTATCCCAATGTGAGAACACCCCACCGGACCCCAGGAGGTCGTGAAGCCACCAGGAGTAAACCCAAAGCCTCCATGCCTTTTCGTTTCAATTTGATTTAAGCCAAGCCAAGCTGCTAAGCATCCTCTTCTCCTCCCCAGTGCCTCTTTACTACCGACTGCAATCAGCCAAACCACCCTGGCAGGTGCTGCTGCCCCACAGCAATACATGTATTTCAGACTAGACATAAGGAAGAAATTTTTTACGCTGAGGGTGGAGAAACACTGGCACAGGTTGCCCAGAGAGGTGGTCGATGCTCCATCCCTGGAAACATTCAAGGTCAGGTTGGACGGGGCTCTGAGCAACCTGGTCTAGTTGAAGGTGTCCCTGCTCGTTGCAGGGGGGTTGGACGAGATGACCTTTAAAGGTCCCTTCCAACCCAAACTATTCTGTGATTCTATGAGTTATTCCTCTTCCCCAAGACCCAACAAGGTGTGGGGTTCCCTGCCGCCGGACCCCACGCTGAACTAGAAAATACTTGTTAGTGTGTAGATGCCAAGAGCATCAGACTTCAGACAAATTAACACCACGCTGGAAAGTATATAAATCCTCAGATCGGAGGAAAAAATGCCAATATATTTGAGAATGGCTGTTAGAAGGAAATTTTCTTTCCAGGCAGCTTAATTCCTAGTGGTGTCATCCCTCTGTGGGCCAGCACTGGGACGGGAGCTTTCAGAGCCAGGGTTGGAGACCCGGTGGATGCAGCGAGCCCGCCTGACCCCGTTCGGGGAATCCAGGTATTCCCAGCACGGCAGGGTCACGGCAGCCTTTGGGCACAGCGGGTTTGTACGGGGATCGATGGGGCTGAGCGAGCGCAGAAGGAGCCATCGCGCAGGAGGGACACGTGCCGGCGTCCGCCGCCTTACTCCGATTTACCTATAGGTCCCCTCCGGCTGGCAGAGCTCAGCTTCTGACCCTAGCCATCAAAATCCCAACCATAAAGCTAAAAATCACCACGTTTCCCAATATTTCCCAATCCTCCCGTTGTCATGGGGCTGTTCTCACACCCGATGCTGTCGTGCTAAAGTTTGCCTGCAAAGAAAGGGGTTTAATGGCACTCACAGGGGAATACGGATGGCGTCTTATTTCACCCGCTTAATGGCTTGTGTGCCTGGATAATAGGATTCCTGCCTTGGAGCCCACAGGTTAATGAGTACGGATGCTATTTTATTTTCTTGCTAATGATGTTTAGCATGTACAGTACGTAGATATCGTCTCTTTTGGGCTCTGCATTGTAATTACAACTCAGGATCTCGCCAGGTTGTTTTGATACTTGTCTGTTGTACAGAGGTGTCACAAGTTATTTACTGCATGTGGCAAGAGGTTGAATTCATTTAAAAGCATGCAAAAGCGCTTGCAATAAATGTCTGGACTCAGAAATTTTGCTGCTGATTTTTGCTAGCTGGTACCTATGCTCCAAGAAAACATTTATTGTTGTCTCTGTGTTTAATGATGAGTGACTGATAAACAAATGATATTTTCTTCTTTCACCGGTGGCACCCAGCCAAAACAGGCACCAAAACCTGGGATTTAGTTGGGCAACCGGTGAGGGATGCCCCTGACGTCGGGGCTCTGATCCAGCATTCATGGCTGTGTCCGTTCTTGGTCTGCTTGCTCGGGCTTTGCCAAAACCTTGAGCTTTTACCCGTGACGTGGAGCAACAAAACCCAGCCCGTGAGCTGCCCACCATCACTGTTTCAGCGTGCGCACAGCGAGCTGCTGCCCAGCGGGATGAGATTGGGGTTTAATTTGTTCTGCGTTAAAAGCCACCATTGCTTCGGGCTGAGGGACAACCAGCCTTCCTCCATCCCAGTAAGTTAATCACATCTACCTTGCTTTCTGGATGCATTTCTCCCTCCCAGCACATTTATGGATCCTGCACCCCCTTTAAATATTCTTCTGATCCAGGGGAGAGCATTGGTGATCCCCGAGCGAGGTGGCATGGAGGCACTGACCCCCATCCCTCCTGCCAGCACACAGCCCAGCCGCTGGAGTCTCGTTTAAGTCGGCAGTAAATTAATTTGCCAAGTTGCCTGCTGCTCCCCATCCAGCTCCGGCCTGGTGACTTGCCGGGACTGCCTCCTGGCACAGCCTGGCACGAACCGCTTTGCCACGACATCGACCGAGGCAAA